TTTCAGAGGGTGAATTCGAAGACTTTGATTTGAACAGAGTTAACACAACTAAAAATTACAGAAGATAACAGATAATAAAAGTAAGCTAAAGTGTATGACTTTTCGGGTGAGATGTAAATATTATTTTTAGTCGACCAATGCTGTCAAAATGCTACAACATGAAACCATGCTGACAAATTGCTACAGCAGTCAATCAATAACAACTATTTTCACCAATTATTTTGAAGGTATTCCTCTCGGACTTCACCAATGCACTGATATTATAGCTTTCAACCCATATCTCTATGAGGTATCCAGACCAATGTAAGTGACAAATGGTGTCTTCAAAATATACGGATAAACAAATCTATTTGTTAAATATCACTCTCTCGAGTGGATTCCCATATCATTCAAGTTGACATGTTCTGAATGGCTCATCTCTGAGTCCATTCCACTTTAACACTTTAGAGTGATCAACCCGTCGAGAATTAACAACTTAGAAAATATGGACAACAAATCTCTTTGTTAGCAACTCTCTCAAGTTTACTTCCCATATCATCCAAATTGACGTGCAATCAATGGCTCAGCTTAGAGTCTACGATACTTTAACACTTTATCAACTCGTTAGGAAGTGTCATTGGTTATATAAAACTTGAAATGAAAAAGTAAAACGTCGTTGTTACATGAAAGGGTCTACCGTATTTTGGTTTACAAACTCACCCTTTTCGTCATACACCCAAGCTAATAAAATTAGCTACTCATGACGAAAACTAAATGACAAGAAATATAAATTGCGATAAGTAAAGACATAAAATAAATGCTGAAAGTAAATACGGAATATAAATGACGGAATATAAAAGGTGCGGAAAGCGTAATAAATAAATGACGGAATATAAAATGCGAGTAAGCGTAAATAAATTAAAGACGGAATATAAAATGCGATGATGTAAAGAAAGCCATTAAAGAACTCAAAATGTAACCAAAGGATTAATAATATTAAGAAACTTGTTCTTCAAGTAGCATGCAATCTACTTGAAGAGAGAAACAAGAGAGAATATGGAGTAAGAAGTGAGGTAAGGTGTTGAGGTGTGTGGAATACTCAACCCAACATCCCTTTTTATACTAGGGATTAGATGGGGGCAAAATGGATATTTCACACCTAATTAGTTCAAAATAAAGTAGAAAGTACAATAAAGCAAACTAATATTTAAAAAGAAACTAAATTAGTCTTAACAAACTCCAGCTAATCTGAACATAATACATCTGTTCCACTTTAGAAGCCTTTCAAAGGTCTTCCCATTGTCTTGTCGGTCAACTTCAAGTCTCATCCATCTCTTCTTCTACCATCAGGCCATGCTACCACATTCCCACAGCATCGACCTGCTCCAATCTGTCCAAAATAAGCTCAATTTAGACCAAAATCCACTAAAAACAGGTTCATCATTCTTCTTAGAATAAAAACAGAGAAAAAAGATAAAACGACTCAAAGTTGGGATATAAATATAAAATAACCTATCTAAAAGACAATAAAAAGGTACTTTACGCACTAAATACTTAGTACATATCACACCCCCAAACTTAAACCGTTGCTTGTCCCCAAGCAACCAAAAGACAACTAAAAATGACTCAATTTTGAAAAATTTGCAAGAAAATGCAATAAGTGCATACACATGTTGATTATGCCAGAATGCACTCTATAGTTTTCATAAATCTTAAGTAAGCATGTCCTAATTAACCATTAGCATGAACCATAAGCTAGCTCTATTTGCTCTTTGTTATGCTCAACACATCATATGTCTAAGATCAATAGGGCTTGGAAGAAACTGGTTTACTCTCATTTGGCACATTTTTTCCTCTCTTTGCCTTTTCTCTCCTTTATGCATCAACTTAGAATTTTTTTTCAATTTTTTGGCACTTTTGTGCTCTTTTGTTGAATGCATTTACACCTGCCCCTATGGGACATTTGTGGTGTTTTAGATCTCAAATGTTTCATGTAAGGTTTATGCACTTTGTGCATTTTGATCTCCACATTTGGTACTTTGTGCTCTTTTGCATTGCTTTGATCAATATGACTATGTTGATACCCACCCCCAAACTCAGATTTTTCAATGTCCTCATTGGAAGTGTATAGGGGGCTGTTTATGCAATGGCTACAAGTGGCTAAAATWTTGAGAAAAGAACAAAGGGCCTATATCCTCTCTTAGTTGAGCATATGATGTGGATCAAGATGTGTTCCCAAGCAAAACAAGCTAGTTCTAGTGATACCAAGTGATTATAAAGTGTAGCTAAACTACAAGAATTATTTTGGCTATACAAGCATATGGCAATTATAAACATATGTGTTATTTGCAAGAAAATAAACTAGAAAATGTAAAAGACCATCCCGGACTCAAGAAAATCAAAAAAAGTTGAAATAAAATAAATAAAAGAAGCTAAAGAGGGGATGATAGAACCTGTCCTACTCCATAGGAGTAGGTGAAGTGGAGATGTTGTCCTTCAATCTTTTGCACACCTTCTTCAATCGAGCATTCTCATCAAACAGCCTTGCATTCTCTTCCTTCAAGGCTTTCAGCTTCTTTCCTAGCTTCTTGACTTGAGCACTTGTCTTTGCTTCCAACTCTGCCCTTACCAACTTGATGTCTCCCCTGGTTTTCTTTTCGGCTGCCCTCACTTTTTCAGCCAACTCCCCTTTCAACCTGTCTATCTTGTCAAATAACTCATTTCTTTGTCCCAATAAACTATCCATCAAACTGCTGTTTTGAGCCAGCAGGTCCTGCATCAAACATAGCATATCACTAGCTCCATTCCCTTTTTCCTTCTTCTCCCTCAGCCTAGAAACTGTCTTCATGTAAATCTTCCATTTCTCCCCTTGCTCTTTCACCATTTGATCCTCGCAATACTGAGGAATACCATTTTCTACCAACAGCCGTGTGATCAAACAAGAGAAATACATTTTCCCCCTACTTCTGCCCGAACATGTCCTAATGCTCTTTTCAATCACTCTCCCAAAGTTGATGGACTTACCTGTCACTAAACAATAAAGCAACAACATTCTCTCCACCGATACCGAGCTATCATGTGTGGTGGGAGCGATGGAGTGCCTCAAAAAGTTAATCCACACATTTGCATTGGTCGTAAGATTGTAGGCCTTAAAAGTCCTCAACATGCAGTTAGAGTGCTCATCCCAAACAACCCCTAGTTTCCCTATCTCATCAGCCACCTCTGTCAAATCTTCTATGGTCGCATGTCTCACCATTCTAGAGTAATCTGTCTTTTTAGGGGGGTTTAGGCCATACAGCCGATTGATGGCTTTAGAATTGAAAATGAAGGTCGTCCCCCTAATCAATATCTTGGATGTGTTATTTGCCACCAACTCAGCATAGAACTCTCTAATTAGAGTCAGGTTATAGGAAGTTGGGACCATGCACATATGTTCTATACCATGAGCTTCTACCACCTCTCTTATGAATGCAAATTCCCTAATACTTTGCCTATCAAATCCCTTGTCTGGGAATCCAACCCTGTTTTAGAATCTAACATGCATCTTTTCAACAGCCTTGGAACTAAAACCATTGTGGGGTCTGATCGGCCTTGGAATGGTGGCTGGCCTTTGGGCCATAGCCACCCTTTTCCTCTTAGGTCTGGATGAATGCTGTTGCAATGCTATAGCATCAGTCCCAGAGTTCCTAGGAGACTCAATCACAACCCTTTCAGACCTAGTCTTCTTCCTAGGTGGTTCCTTATTAACTACTGCTTTGGACTTCTTTTTATCACATGCTTTAACCAATCTCCTTTTCTTAGACAACACCTCAACAGGGGGTTCTTCATCCTCTTCCCCAAAAAATTCCTCATTGAGGTTGGGTATGGGGTCATGAGGAGCAACATGAGGCATATCATCCTCTTCATCCATTTCTTGCCTAGAGGCAGTCAAAAGGAGAGGTTTCCTCGGTTTTTCAAATACAATAATGTTCTCCAAACTGCATGCCTCATTTTCCAGAAAAATCTCCCCTGTCTGTGCCTTAGAGGCAAGGTCCTCATCTTCTTCAGAATCAGAAGTGAAGAGACCATCAGGTGTACTATCAGATGAAGAATATACCTTTTGAGAAGTTTCGGGTGTTTCCCTGTTTTCGGTGGTCGGAGATGAAGTTAGGGCTTTCTTTGGAATCGGCACAGTGGATGATTTCACCATTTCTTTTACTTTCTTTAAAGAGTCTGTGAATGGGATAATGGCAGCAGAGGGCACCATTTGAAGAGGAGGCGCGACTATGGGCACTTCTAGCGGAATGGCTTCGACGGTGACTAGAGTGGATGACGGTGGCAGAGACGGTGACGGTGGTGGCGATGGTGAGTCTTCATCAACAAGGACTGTAGATGACTCGCCCTTTTTCTTCTTTGCAATAGGGACTCGCTTTCCCTTTATCGCCGGTTGTCTGCGTGAAGAGACAGGGGCGCGCACAACGGCAGTAGCCACCGACGGTGGCGGGTTAGGCGGTTGTGCCGGCGGTGGTTCGGCTGCACGCGAAGAAGGAGGATCGCGAACCAGGGCTCTCTTTACTCTCGCCATTTTCGAACGTTGGTGAATGAGCGAGAAGCAGTTACTGGACGATCGAGAGAGACAGTTGGAAAATGGGAGGGAAAAGAGAGGAGAAAGTGGGTTTCTTGAAAGACAAAGGGGTTTTCTTACAAAAGATAAGGGTAAAATGGGAAGTAGGTGAGGTACCATGATGTAAGCATTGGGAGCATGCAAAACTTGAGTGTACTTGATGGAGGTCTTCTTTTTCTTTTCAACCAGGATCTTTCAAACACAAGTCACAATAGGGTTTTAATTACTTGACAAGTTGGGGAGATGTGTTTGAAAAGGTGGTAACAAGATGTCTTTTCGAAAACAAAGAGGTACTTTTCCTTACATCTTGTATCACTCTTAGCTGTCCATAAAAGAGATGACCATATTTCTTTAAAAATTAATTTTTAAGAATGACATCATGCATTTTCCACTCAAAATTTTCAGACTTTAAAAATTTCTAAGATTCTGCATTAAAGGCTAGGGTTTTCAGATGCTGCAACAAGACCTCAGGCTTTTCTTGACGATTGACTGGACTGCAAAACACACGACAAATAACGACAATATTAGAAATAACAATAAAACTTATAAAAAACAGAAATTAGAGCAAACATAAATATTTACACACAAACATTTTTGGACTTATAAAAAGTCCAAAAATGTCGAAGCTTTTAGCAAAGGGTAACTAAATTCACAGAGCATAATTCTAGAATTTCTACTGGATCATGAAATAACTTTACTCTTTGACCGTTAACTTTGAACACAGAATTGTCCTCGGGATTGATTAGGTCAACTGCTCTGTGCTGATAAACTTTATAAATGAGGAAAAGTCCAGACCAACGGGACTTGAATTTTCATGGGAACAGTTTTAACCTAGAGTTAAACAAAAGGGCTTTCTGACCAGCTCTCAACTCCCGGTGCTGAATTCTTTTATCATGCCATTTTTTTGTTTTATCATTATAAATCTTGGCATTTTCATAGGACAGATTCTTATGTTCCTCTAATTCATACAGTTGGACTTTCCTTTTGCTGGCAGCCATATCTGGGCGCATATTTAATTCTTTGATGGCCCAATATGCTTTGTGTTCAAGTTCTAAAGGGAGGTGACAAGCCTTACCAAAAACCAGCTTATATGGGGACATACCAATAGGTGTTTTAAAAGCAGTCTGGTATGCCCATAAAGCGTCATCTAACTTGAAAGCCCAATCCTTCCGGTTTGGCTTGACAACCATTTCTAAAATTCCTTTTATTTCACGGTTTGAGAGTTCAGCTAATCCATTAGTTTGCGGGTGGTAGGCATTTGCTATTATATGGTTAATGTTGTACTTTTCAAGAACTCCACTCAACAGGTTATTTACAAAGTGGGTACCCTCATCACTAATTAGTGCTCTTGGGGTACCAAACCTTGTAAAAATTTGTTTTTGAAGAAAATTTAACCACAGTTTTGGCATCATTAGTAACACAAGCCATGGCCTCTACCCACTTAGACACGTAATCAATAGCCACTAGAATGTATTGACAATGATTTGATGGGGGAAATGGTCTCATGAAGTCTATCCCCCATACATCAAACAACTCTACTTCTAATATCCCATTAAGTAGCACTTCATTCCTTTTGGAAATGGAACCACTTCTTTGACACTCATTGCATCTTTGTGCAAAATTATGGGCATCTTTGAAGAGAGTAGGCCAATGAAAACCAGATTGTAATACTTTAGTCGCTGTTCTTTGGCCTCCAAAATGTCCTCCATATGTTGCTTGGTGGAAATGCTGCAGAATTGCTGCCACTTCAGTTTCTGGAATGCACCTTCTTAAAATTTGATTTGTACTGATTTTAAACAGATAAGGGTCATCCCAAAGGTAAGTTTTAGTATCATGGAGAAACTTTTTGAACATATGGCCAAAAATATCAAAAGGTCTAATTCCACAAGCCAAATAGTTTGTTATGTCAGCGAACCATGGTGGCTTTGATTCTAACACTAGAATTCTTTCATCGGGGAATGTTTCAACAATCTCTCCTTCTTCTAGGGTCTCCCTAGGCTTCTCTAATCTTGACAAATGGTCTGCAACTTGGTTTTCTACTCCTTTCATATCCACTATCTCAAGGTCAAACTCTTGCAACAATAAAACACATCTTATTAACCTAGGTTTAGCATTTTTTTTGAAATCAAGTACTTGATGGCAGCATGGTCAGTGTGAACAATGACCTTTGTTCCCATCAAATATGATATGTATCTTTCAAAAGCAAAAACTACAGCTAACAGTTCTTTTTCAGTTGTTGTGTAGTTAAGTTGTGATTCATTAAAGGTCTTACTTGCATAATAAATTGAATGAAAAACTTTTTCCTTTCTTTGACCTAAGACAGCTCCAACAACCCAGTCACTAGCATCACACATGATCTCAAAAGGTTTGTTCCAGTCAGGAGCAACAACTACCGGTGCGGTTACTAAAGCTTTCTTTAGAGTGTTAAATGCATTTCTCCATTCATCCGTAAAATCAAATTTTTGATCATGTTGCAAAAGTAAACACAAAGGTGTTGAGATTTTTGAAAAGTCTTTTATAAATCTTCGGTAAAACCCAGCATGACCCAGAAAACTTCGTATTCCCTTAATAGTAGTTGGTTCAGGTAGTTTTTCAATGATTTCAAGTTTAACTTTGTCTACCTCAACTCCTCTTTTGGAAATTAAATGGACTAAAACAATTCCTTCTTTGACCATGAAATGACATTTTTCCCAGTTGAGAACCAGATCAGTTTCTTCACATCTTTCAAGACTCCTTTTTAAATTTTCCAAACAATTATCAAAAGATGAGCCATAAAATGAAAAATCATCCATAGAGATTTCTATGGATTTTTCAAGCATGTCAGAAAATATGGACATCATGCATCTCTGAAAAGTTGCAGGAGCATTGCAAAGTCCAAATGGCATTCTTCTAAAGGCAAAAGTACCATAGGGACATGTGAAGGTGGTCTTTTCTTGATCCTCAGGTGATATGGCTATTTGGTTATATCTGGAGTATCCATCCAAGAAACAGTAATACTCTTTTCCAGCCAACCTGTCCAACATCTGATCAATAAAAAGTAAGGGAAAAAGGTCCTTTTGAGTGGCTTTGTTTAGCCTACGGTAGTCCATGCATATCCTCCAACCAGACACTGTTCTTATAGGGATAAGTTCATTCTTGTCATTGGTGACAACTGTAAACCCTACCTTCTTTGGGACACACTGGATTGGACTAACCCAAGAACTACCGGCTATTGGAAAAATTATTCCTGCATCTAGTCATTTCAAAATTTCCTTCTTCACTACTTCTTTCATGACCGGGTTCAATCTCCTTTGAGGCTCTATAGATTTGAAGTTCTTTTCATTTAGGATGATCTTATGTTGACAAATAGAATGACTAATCCCCTTAAGGTCAGTAATGGTCCATCCTATGGCTTTGGTGTGCAACTTCAACATATCTACAAGTTTCTTTTCTTGATGTAAATCTAGGGTAGATGATATGATGACAGGTAATTTACCTTCTTCTCCTAGAAATGCATACTTCAAGTGAGATGAGAGTTGTTTTAACTCTAGATCAGGTGGTGAAATTATAGACGGGTAAAATTCTTAGGCTCACTATTGTCCAACAACTCAAATGCTGCAACATCAAATGGGAAATCACCTCTAAATCCTCAACAGTCTCATCACCTATCTCAACACCTTCATCCTCTTCTAACTTACAGGCCTTCCTAGCTTCTTCCTCATAGCATATCGTCTCTATCTCAGTAACTCCTGAGCATTCCTCTAAGTAATCAGGGTACTTTAAGGAATTAAAGACATTGAAAGTGACTTTCTGGTCTTGGAGTCTCATGGTCAGCTCTCCTTTTTGGACATCAATCAAWGTTCCACCAGTGGCTAAGAAAGGTCTTCCTAAGATTATGGGAATATCTTTATCAGCCTCAAAATCCAAGATGATGAAGTCAGCCGGAAAGATGAATTTGTCAACCTGAACTAAGACATCCTCAATCTTACATTTTGGATAAGCAATGTTTCTATTGACCAATTGCAAGGTGACAGTGGTGGGTCTAGCTTCTCCTATGCCTAGGGTATTGAAAACAGACAAGGGCATAAGGTTGATACTAGCTCCTAAATCACACAATGCTTTACCAATCTCCTTTCCACCTATAGAACAAGGAATAGTGAAACTCCCTGGGTCTTTAAGCTTAGGGGGTATTTTGTTGGTTAGAAGCGCAATACATCCCTCAGTAAGAGCTACAGTCTATGTTGGTCCCAAAAGGGTCTACAAGAATACTAAACAGGTTGTAGAAGGGGGGGATGAATACAAACACAACGTTTTCAAATTTAAAATATATATTGATAAAGAAGATCAATACAGATTTTACAAGATTGTTTGCGGAAAGATAAGGTAAAAGAAACCTATCTAAACAATCGTAAGTTACACACAAAGGTTAGCAAATACAAGAAAAGAGATTGCTAAAAGAAAAGATCTTTTACTTTAAGATGAAAGAAGCTTGAAGTAAGAATGAGGGAGGAGAGTGATGCGCGCACACTGCATGGAGAAGAAACACTTCTATAAATACCCAGTGCATTAAATGTCCATTTAATGAAGTATGGTAGGTTATAGAATGCGTGTCAAGCCTTAAGAGGAAGGCTYGTCYTTTGTTACAGAGAATAGTACAAAAGCACTATTCTTGAACAGACATCCTTACCTAAAGATGGTGGACAAAGAGTCGACTAATCGGCTCCGTA